TGTGGGGTCTCTGGTCTTGCAGATACCCAAAACTCAACTGGAGGAGGCCCTGGGCAACCTGATCCAGCTGAGCCGGCTCTCAGCAGGGTCCCTGCCGGCCCTTCCACGCTTCTGCAACTTGAGACAAGCTTTTGGGGAAGATTAATTCCTTCAAAATGCTTCAATTCCTTCCAAATTCCTTCCAAATTCTTCAGTTCCTTCCAAATGTCTTCCAAATTCCTTCTAAATTCCTTCCAAATTCTTCAGTTCCTTCCAAATGTCTTCCAAATTCCTTCCAAATTCTTCAGTTCTTTCCAAATGCCTTCCAAATTCCTTCCAAATTCTTCATTTCCTCCCAAATTCTTCATTTCTGCAGAAAATCGGATTCAGGTGGAACACCCCACCCCGGGGGTCCTTGCCGGGCCTCCTGCTGCTCTGCAGCACAACGCCAAGTTGCCTTTTATCAGAGCCAAAATCCTTCCAGCTCTCAGGAGGCAGCGTCCAGCCGAGGAATCACCGTGTCCCACAGGGAGACGGCGCCCGACGCAAGAGCCCGGGTCCCACGGGAGGGTGCACCAGGCCTCCAGAGGAAATTTTCCCTTCAGCTTCCCTGCAGCTCACACTTAGGATTTAACAGCGACCAGTATCAAGACCCCTAAATATTATTTTTAAGCGTCCTGTGTAAACCCCGAGCAGGCTCACCCCTTTCAAAATAGACATGAAATCCTGCGAGGCCATTTTGGGAACAAAAAGGGAAGATTTGCTGAGTTTTAGTCGGGGTAATCCCACGCTCACGCAGCAACAGCTGCGCTTCGCCGGCCAACTCCCCACCACCGACTGGGAAGGGGGGTAAAAAACCCCCCCAAAACCAAACACCAAGGCCCGTGAGAAATACCCCGCTCCTAAATCATCGTCTCTCGCTTTGTTTCACTGCAAGACTGAGCTGCCCCTCCTCATTCCCGACAACCCACATATTTATTTCTCTTTTATTTGTTCCTGCAGGCGGGCCCCGATCTGTTTGGATGCTGAGGGCAGGCGAGGCACCTGCTAACCTCCCCGGTGACAACCTCAGCGGGTGAAGCCAGGGCACGGCTGCTCCACCAGCCCCGGAGAGGACCGGGGTGGGGAATTCTCCCCTCGAGAAGCCCCGGGCCGCCCGCGGGGAGGCGTTTGGGGGGCAGGGGGGGAGCTGAGGAAGGCGGTGGGGCGCAGCGGGGCAGCAGTGGGGCAGGACGGGGGCTCAGCCCCGCGGAGGGGCAGCCCCACAGCGGGGTCGGCCCCACTGCCCCACAAAATCACAGAATGGTTTGGGTGGGAAGGGACTTCTCCAGGGCATCCAGTCCCACCCCCTGCCATGGGCAGGGACATCTCCAACTGGATCGGGATGCTCAGAGCCCCGTCCAGCCTGGCCTTGAATGTTTCCAGGGATGGGGCATCAACCACCTCTCTGGGCAACCTGGGCCAGTGTCTCACCACCCTCAGTGTAAACAATTTCTACCTTATATCCAGTCTGAATCTGCCTTCTTTTAGTTTAAAACCATTCCCCCTTGTCCTGTCGCTACAGGCCTGACTGAAAAGTCTGTCCCCGTCTTTCTTTTCCATCATCTTTTCCAGTTAGTGGCCGGTCACCAGCGGTGTCCCCAGGGCTCAGCATTGGGGCTGGTTCTGTTCAATATTTATTGATGATCTGGAGGAGGGGATCGAGGGCACCCTCAGTCAGTTTGCAGGTGACACCAAGCTGGGTGGGAGCGTCGATCTGCCGGAGGGCAGGGAGGCTCTGCAGAGGGCCCTGGCCAGGCTGGAGCCATGGGCCCCGGCCACGGGGGGG